GGGGGGGGGGGCGGGGGGGGGGGGGGCGGGATGTGTCAGACGACTGCAGATATTCACAGAAAGTGGCTGAGTACTGTCATTTGATGAACAGAAACCCATGGTCAGATCCAGATTAGAAAGCAATCTGGTGAGGGGTTTCGGGGATGAGAATGGATTTTCAGCTGATAATCAAGGAATTTCCCGCCCTTGAGCCTGAGGGACAAAAGCTGCACTCTCAGCCTTTGCTTCATAATATGATGAAAGAAAATACACAGTGCTCCTCTCCCAATGAGACAGGATAGTTCCTATGATTTTAGTATATTATATTTTTCAAAAAGCAAGCTGCAGCACTCTTTAAACTCCAACTTGATATGAACAGCTTATTTCCCGCTCTTTGCAGCTCAGTGATCCCTGACTGCAAATCATTTAATGAGGTTCCCCCTGTCCCTCAGAGTCTACTAACCTCAAAGATGTCCTTGAACTTTGAACGATTGTTAGTTATCTCTGATTGAAAGCCCTCAGTCCAGAAATCATCATCATCACCTCCTTGGATAAAGTTTTCCTGACAGTAGATATAGTCTGGAGAAATAGAAGCAAGATGACTGACCTGAGTTTATTCAGATACCAGACAAGCTCAGGGAACAAGAATTTTTAACTTCTTCTTGTGGCCATGACACAGAGACCGCTTGGCCGTGGACAAACCAGCTGATGGATGCTGTCCACACTGTATTTGGAACCAATGACATTCTCTCTGGTCAATTCTTTTTCCTTCTATCAGTGGAGGGCCCCTTCAGCCAGCCTTATCGCAGCAGCTGAATTTAGTCCCCTAGGATAAGGGAGAAGCACCCTATCCCCTGTTCCCATGGGAGTTGATGGAAATATGGTGAAAGACAGAAAGGCAGAATTTTCATACAGGTCTGGTTGCTAAGAGTCCTGTCCCTCTTCTCCCGCAATATTTGAATATCATTTTTTGGATGTGACACTCAAGTCACTGAACAGCGATGGATGGGCCCCCAGAGAATCTGGGCAGGACAATGGGCACAGATGCAAACCTATACCAGATCCATCCATGCACATAGTTCACCAGTTCACCCCTTCCCAGACCCAGAAAGCATGGGAAACCTTGCCTTCAATGTCCATGACATCAATGGTTACTCCTGCCGAGTTCATAAGATCCCTCAGACCTTGGCGGTTTCTTTCTCTGTCTATGTAATAAAGCCGTGCCACAAATATCTTTATGTTCACATATGAGTGCCTCTGTAAGAAATCCACTATTTCATAGCAGCAGTTCGCACAGGGACTCCAGGACAAGTACCAGGTGATGGAACAGTTGACATCATTACGGTATTTCTTCACATGTAAGATCTTCTCCAGGAAGTAGATCTCAGCATGAACTGAGTAAGGCTCATTTTTGACCCAGTGTATCCAAGGCTTGCCAGTCTTACCCCACTGCAGTCTGCATAGTAGGTACGCGTCCCTTGGAGTCTTACGGGGATCAAAATTATTTTTCAGAGCCTTCTTAGATATATACATGCTGAAACAGAAGAGAAACTTGAAGAAATCACTGGTTACAACTTGGTTTTCAGTAGTTCTCAAGTACACAAAAACAGGAGAGAGTGGAGAAAACAGAAGGAGAACTGAGAAGGGCAAAATTTGAGAGAGCAATGCAAGGAAAATGGAGAGGTAGGTACCACAGCAGGGTAAAGGAATCAAACCCTGAACCACCTAATCCTCTCTTTGCCTGCAACTGCATGCAGAACTTCCATCTCCTCACCCCTCCATATGGCTGTCCTCTTTGCCACCAGCATGAGTATTTTAAAAGCTTTCTGTATCTTTTTATGTGTCAGACATTTTTCCAGGGTTCCTGTGTAGCTCCTTTCAATGTAGGGAGCTGCTGTGAATTTGGCAAAAACTAAAAAAAAAAAATAAAAGAAAGAAATTAAAAACACTGACAAATCATGAAGCTGAATACTTCTCATTATTGGGTTCTCTTGCTGTTTTTTTTTCATAAGGATTAATTAGTACATTCAGCACAATCCTAAATAAGAGGAGGAAAAAGAAGTACTCCGTACAAAAAGATGCAGCTCCCAAGAATGACATATTCTGACAGAGAGTCCATCTCTTAGATCCAGATCTATTCAGTTCAGAACACACCTCTAAATATTGTCGATTAAGTAACTATACAAAGACTGCCAATGTTGGGCAAGATTGTGCCCTTTATACCAGTAATTATCCATGATACACAAACAATATATGAAGTAATCATTAGCACTTTGGAGCCTTTGTACAATTGTTTATACAGAGATTTAGATGAGAAACCACTTCAGATAAATATTTTTTTCCACAGTAGAGTAATTCAGAATAAATCTAGTAGACAGACAGACTCTTAAAAGCAATAAACCTGTAGCTTGTTTTATAGATTAGCACCTACCAATAACAAAACAAAACCAAAACAAACAAAAATCCCAAACAAACAAAAAACCCACTATCTGAAATAAGGACAAATGAAGTCTTGCAGATGAAGCCCAAACAGTTAATCTAGTTCTTACAGAAGGTATCTTTGCGGTTTTGGAAAGCAGCGTTACAACTGATTACAGACATTTGATTTGTTCAAAGGTATCCACAGCTATTGCTATCTAATTCTAACATACAGACAAGTTCAAATTTCCAAGACTCACTTCAACTGTTGTTAAGCACCCCCTTATCTGTGCCTCAGCCATAAACTCTTGCACTTTGGATAAGCTATTGCAGCGGGTGCTATTGCAGTGGGTGTCCTGTGCACAATTTCAGAGACATAAAGCCATTTCTTTAGAACTACCTTGCAATACACTAATCTTCAAGATCTAGCCACCTTAAAGATAAGTTAAGCCAAGTGAAATGTATTGTGTAAACAACTTAATGCAATATAAACAAAAGACTGCAGTCTTATAAATAACTGCTATAGATAGAACTTCCTATTTTTAAAATAATGGATTAATATAAAGTTAAACAGCTTTAAAAGAAGGACAAACAAGAAATCTAAAAAACATCATAAAACATTCCCACACTACAGAATATTGATGGAATCTCAGCACCTATTCCCTTTTTTCCCCAAACCAGATAAGAAAATACTTAAGCTGTGGGTTTACAGATAAATTGCCCAAAGCTATGCAATCACTTTATTTTTTTTTATAGCTATCACAAACAGAATGTGCTGTTCAGCACTGTTATTTATGACACACATATAGATATGGACCCTTACTCAAAAAAATCAAGCACTTAATAGCTGGTTCCTTGATACAAATGTAAGACAAAATTAAGAGTTAGCAAATAATAATTTAAAAAACCTCCTAAAACATTTTTCGTTTTCATTCTACATTTGGTTCATCAGTCTCATGAAGGTGAACTTGTAAATCTCTCAGAGTTTAAAAGCTGAAGAAAATACACCAGCTGTAAAGACTGACTATTTGAAAGGTGAATTGCACCCAAAAATGTATAGAGGAGTTAGGGGAGAAAATGGCAGAGGAATGACAGCCAATGCAACTGTCTCCTATGTTTTATTTTATTTTCCATTAATACACAGCTGCAATGTAAATGTGCATTAAACCTTGAAAACATATTGACTGATTATAGATGTCTTTTAAAATCTGTTATTTTTACTTTTTCTAATGTCCCATTATTCATAACTTGAACAGGAATGCAGTGAGTTTATTTTAAAATGTACTAATTTTATGAAAAATCTCATAAAAATAATATCTCTCTTATTAAAACTTTGCATAATGAACTGCACCATTATAGATATTTAATAATTTTCCTTCCTTCCTCTAACACTTTTTTATTAGAAACTATTTAAAATTCTACTTATTGCAAGATAATAATAGTAATAATGACAATATCTAAAAATGTACGAGCATAGATGTGTCAAAATGTCTTTAATATGCATTTTTCCTCCACTACTAATACTTTGCGCAGCTGATGCACTTCTTTACTAAACTTTGCATTACAACTTTTTTTTCCCCTCCACTGGACAGAAAATGTCTGGTCTGACACTTCCTGTTTATTTTGTGGCAAAATATCCGTTTCAAGTCCTCGAAACAGTGGAGCAGGGAAGGGGCACTTTTGGATTCTCTTGCTCCCCAGAATTGGGGTGAGCCAGCTCCTGCCCTAGCTCTTCCCAAACCCACCCCCATCTTCCACTAATTTTTTATTGGTGCCTTTTGTTCCCTGTTGTTTTATGGCGCCCGTGACAGTTCTATGCTGGCAGGAACCTCCCCAACCAGCTCAGGCTTCGTTACAACTCCTTGCCCGCTGAAAGTACACTGTGGACCAGGGCTCCTATTTGGGTACACTGGCACCAGTAGCACCCACGCCCTTCCCCAAGCAAGGCAGAGAGTTTGCACAGCGAGAAAGCGACAAAAAGCGAGGGGTCGCCTTGGGTTGGAGCAATGACAACATAGAGCTGAAGCTGGAATGGGGGGTTTTTTGATCAGAAATTGTTTGTTACCCTCTCATCTTCTTCCCGTACATGGTTTCTCTGCTCCCTGTGAACCCTCCCGCACCGCTTTTCTCCTTCGGTGCCTTCCTCCTTTCTGTTTCTGTTTCTCTTCTGCTGACGGAGGCCGGTAACAGAGCACAACCCAGGCTTCACTGGCACAGGGTGATGTAAGAGGAAAGGAAAACAAAGTGGTTTGACAGCGGTTGCTGCCACATAATGACACGTCTTTACAAGCCTGCCCTTTGCAGTGCTCTTTCCTCACCCCATAGTTGGGGAGTGAGGGCTGGTACACTTTTACGGTTAAAAATGTAATAATTGGACAATCTCTTTGAAGCCTGCTTGTAAGTTTGAAAGGGATGATAATGCTTTGTCAGTAGAAAAAACTCCAAGATTTATTCTTCTGTGCAGGAAACCCCTCCCAGTGGTGCAGCTGTTCTGTCTGAAGCACAGGCCTTTCCTCTGAAGTACCCAAAGTTCAGCCACATGGGAAGTGCGGTGGTGCAGCCTCACGCCCTGCGAGACCTTTCCACACTATCAGAGTTCTGTCAAGGGCAAAGCACTCACTAATACCTTCAATGGGAGACATCACTCACAAGGAATCAGTCAAACTCAGTCATCTTCTTTGCCAAACACAGAAGGTGAAGAGTTACTCTGGAGGAAGAGAGGGGACCGTGTATCAGGAGCCTTGCAGAAGACATGGCATTTGAGGAGTTGGTGATCTCCAACAGGCTGCATCTGCTCTCTTGGGCCCTGTGCTTAGGGACTGAGAAGCTAAGTTACTCATGTAATCAGTAATTTATAGACACCAGTCTGTGCAGCGTGGCCTTCAGGCTGTGCCATGCTGCACACCCCCCTCAGCCGCAGGACGAGCTCAGCTGCCGGATTGTAACAGAGGAGCCTGCAGACCATTCCCACTTGGCACCTGCGATTGCACAACCTGCCTGGCCCTGCCGTAATCTATTAATACAAGCGCAGCAGGAAGTTCAAACGCCTTTTAGGAACAGAATTGAGTTCCTGTAAGAAAATATGTAACAGCTCAGATGACCAAAAATTCAGAGCTTGCCTTCACAGACAGGATCTGTGGAGTGTGCCACAAGGAAATCCATCTGGGGTCTGTCCAACACTGCATGAACACGGGGTGCCCAGCATCTGAAGGGATGTTAGATTTCCTTGTTGTCTATATTCCTCTTCTTCCGTCTTATTAAAACAGCTGTTTTATCAAGCCATTTACTGAGATCCAGTACTTACCCTGCACCATTTCTCTTTAACATAAGTGATTCTGGCCAGGTCACTGAGATTCTCACATCTTGGTGCTGGTGAGTATATGGAAAAGACAGTACAAGGGGTGCAAAATGCATTTATTTTGAAATTTGTAAAGTAAAATCACATTCCTCCTGTTGCAAAGAGCTTCAAACAAGAACATACTCAAGGACATGATTTTTGTAGCTGTGACTGATGCATCCTAGTATACTGATACATCCTGATACAGATACATCCTTGTACATTCTGAAGGACTACAGATAAACCAGCAGAACACCAGCTGAGGCCAAGATAAGAAACATGAGGAATCTACAAATAAAAATTATGGGCCAAGACAAGACCATGCATGGGAGAAGGATGCTAAGAGACTCATCAGAACCACAAGGGACAACCAAAACAACCCTTGTACACAAGTGCAGTTTGATCCAAGAATTATTCTGTATATATTTAAATGTATTACAATTATATTTAAATAGATCCCAATCATTGTAACTTAGATTATGTAATCCTGAAACTTTTGTGTATAAATATGGTAAGAAAAGTGGCGTTACTTGTGTGAGCTTGGATGGAATATATAATCCCCCTCACATCCAACGTCAATTAAAGAATGCCTGCTGCTTAATGCTACATTGGTGTTAAGATGTTTTTCTATTCTTGATTTTGGTGACACTCTTCCTTAAGGTCTCTTTGAGTTTTGTTATACTGATTTTCTATGGAGACATTTAGGAAAGATAGTAGCTCCTAAGTCCCACAGAGTTACTACTGTTCACTGAAGAACTATGCTAGAAGAACATGGTGC